GCACCACGCGCAGGTAATGTGTGACCCACGCGTGCCCCACCTGCGGGGCATGCTTCACCTACCACGCCGCGCTATACAACCACACCAGGCTGGTGCACCACGCGCAGGTAATGTGTGACCCACGCGTGCCCCACCTGCGGGGCATGCTTCACCTACCACGCCGCGCTATACAACCACACCAGGCTGGTGCACCACGCGCAGGTAATGTGTGACCCACGCGTGCCCCACCTGCGGGGCATGCTTCACCTACCACGCCGCGCTATACAACCACACCAGGCTGGTGCACCACGCGCAGGTAATGTGTGACCCACGCGTGCCCCACCTGCCGGGCATGCTTCACCTACCACGCCGCGCTATACAATTACACCAGGCTGGTGCACCACGCGCAGGTAATGTGTGACCCACGCGTGCCCCACCTGCGGGGCATGCTTCACCTACCACACCGCGCTATACGACCACACCAGGCTGGTGCACCACGCGCAGGTAATGTGTGACCCACGCGTGCCCCACCTGCGGGGCATGCTTCACCTACCACGCCGCGCTATACGACCACACCAGGCTGGTGCACCACGCGCAGGTAATGTGTGACCCACGCGTGCCCCACCTGCGGGGCATGCTTCACCTACCACGCCGCGCTATACAACCACACCAGGCTGGTGCACCACGCGCAGGTAATGTGACACCCACGCGTGCCCCACCTGCCGGGCATGCTTCACCTACCACGCCGCGCTATACGACCACACCAGGCTGGTGCACCACGCGCAGGTAATGTGTGACCCACGCGTGCAAGTAAATTCTTATTCTTATTTTCATTCAATTCCTTGTTCCTATTGTGCAATTTAATTATATTCATATCAATAAATATTCTACCGAGAAAAAGACGTTGTCACGTAAAATCTTCGCCCGTAAAACCGACTTTACAGGCAACCATTTTTTTTATTTTTGATGTTTTTAGACGACATATCTTTTCAGTGATAAATAATCCCACCTCAGAGAAGAGCAATAGATTTCCGTAAACAGCAAATCGAAATCGGACTTCCGAGCACGAAATCTGACTTCTGAAAACGAAAGCACGAATTTCGAATCCGATTTACATTTGGATACTTGTGGTATTAGATCGCTAGCGTTTTGGTTCGGTTAGATTTCTGAAATCGGATTTTCTTGTTGAGAAATCGTTCGGTATCGATTTGTGTTTGAAATCGGATTTTGGATTCGTTTTGATATATCGGACGCATGCCTAATCGGTTCCCATACAAACGGTTTATGAGCACCCTTCTAATCTCTTTCTATGTTCTGTGATAATAATTATGTAGTTTCAGTTGACTGTATTTGCATACACGAGTAACTGGCTAAGTAGGGTAATATAAGTTTAATAAAAAAAAATGCTAAAAGTACTAACTACTTTAACTGAGTTGCAAAAAAAGCAAACGAAGCAGGTTACTGGTATATTTACACAAACTCTTTTGAACTGTAGTGGAACTAAATATCACCATGTGAATTAAAAATTACTGTTTATAACAATACGAAATGTGTTCCGGCTGTCATAAATTATATATTGTATGGCTTGTATTATATTTAAAGTATTTTAGATCTAAGCAGAACGTAATATGAAGCTAATCTTTTGATATATGATATTAAAGCCTAATTTAAATATATAGAATTATATCTAATAACCTTCACTAATATAGTAGCGTTATTAAACTTACAAAAGTCTACAATATATTAACATCTTGTTTAAGAAATGCAAGATAATGAATTAAAGGTATTTTAAGCGATTAAGTAAATTGCAAAAGTAATAAAGTTATTTTTATAATGTCTGAATGTGTAATCGTTAATGGAGTTATGCAAGTTAAGTTTGTTATAGTAGAGTTTAAGAAAATGATAGCTTTTTGCCATTTGATATCCAAAAAATTATTTTAAAGCTTAATTTTTATCTATTAATGGAAACGTGCCAACGGAAGAACGAAATATGCATTTTTTTGGAGATCAATCATAGGTGATTATTTATTTAAATATCTTCATGATTAGGGCTTACCAACTTCCACTTTAAACATATATTCTAATTCATAAATAATAAATTTAATACATCGAACAAAAAATCTAGCAGTATATTTTTTCGTGAATTGTTTTTGTCAATACACTGATTCTCAGTAAGCATTGCTCTTCTACAAATAGTTATAAAACAAGTTTTAGAACAATAAAATTGAATGGGAAAATCTAATCTGGAGTTTTTACCTAAATTATAATGATACATTCAAGAGCGTCATCAAAACGATTTAATGTTGTAAACATGTTAAAATTATAATTCAATTGCGTAGCTTTTATTGTATATTTTACAGTAACGTTGACAGCGCTAATCATGGTATTTTCAAATATGCTAATAGATCTAGTTATTCCAGTATTCTCGAAAACGACATTATAGAAGAATCACCTATTTGAGCAATTCTGACAAATACAAGTTCCGAAGCCGTTGCTCAGTTAATTTATGTTACTTTAGTTTTCATCGTAAATTATAAGGATCTTCGTCTAAATTACTCTTTTTCCACAGATGACGTAAAGTAAACATTTAATAAAAGGATAAAAAACTGCAACATATTCACGGTATGTGTACTTATCAGTGCAGCTTGACCTCGTAACTTGTAAAAAAATGACAAAATGTTATTTTTATAAAGCTTGACTATTATGATTATGTTCCACGCGGACCAGGCAACAGACGGGACTTGAACCCGCACTCTCCGCTATCCGGGCGGATGCATTGACCATTATGCTACCGTGGCCCTAATTGTCTGTGTCGAATTATCTCTAGCATTTCTTCGCACTGTAGGTAACCCACAATGTCAAATGAATACCTTTACAAGTATTAAAAATTTGAAAGAAGAAATAGCAATTATAGACATAAGTATTTATATTTTTTAAGAATTTAACTGCTAGATTTTTTAATCTAAAGAAATTTTACTAGATAAAAATACACGCGGACCAGGCAGCAGACTTTAAACAGTTAAATGCTTAAAAAATATAACTATTATGATTATGTTTAAGCAACTAAGTCATTGTTAGCAATATGGATCAAAACTACTTTCAACAAATTAGGTTTCTTCCTAGGCCAATATAGAACCAAATCGTGTAACAAAGGATGTGAGCATGGGATAACCATGATATAACCTTTGTACCCTTTTCCGACAGCCACAGATCAAGTTGCTCGAAAATGTTCATTTTCTCAGTTTGTGCTTTACGTTGCTTGATATAAGAGTCACAATCTACTGTGAAAAATATTATTTTTTTGTACACACTGTACTTAACCATATTTCTTTTTTATAACCGGTCAGCCAGATAATTTATGTATCTAATATTTTATGCCAAATCTACTTCTAGAAAATCACAAATATAAGCAACATATTGACGTAATACCAAAATGTTAAACTATTTTTTTCATATAAAACAAGCCCATTTTGATATGGATCAGTGGAATGTAGGTAGGTAAGTATATATGATTATTCAATATTATATTTTTTGCTACACTATAAAAAAATGTGGTTAATTACCTTCTTCTTGATTTGATAACGTTTAAAGAAGAAATAACACCTCAATATTTCAAACTCATTACAAAAAACAAATATGTTAAATGCAATTGATAAGTTTCATTTATAGTAACTTTGCCCTATCGCCATCCCATTGCTCTTCAAGAATCTCAATGGTTGACTGGTGAGAATGCTTGTAGCATTAAGTCCGCTGTTTTCTTATTTATGGCAATAAATTTTGAATAAATGAAATGCAATGTCAAATCGGAATTACTTCATTATGTTTCTATATTGGCCCAGACTTCAATTTGATTGAGTGAAATATAAAAAGGCTGGATTCATGCGATCACTAAAATCACACACAAGAAATACCATGCAAAGGACATTGTTCAGCGTCCATACATAGTTAGCCTAAGAAGCAACAACCATGAAATATTATTTTCTAGGTTCAAAATCGTAAGTAAATGACTGTAAAAACAAAGATTATTGACGGACACTTCTGAGAACTTAAATTATTAGGAAAACTAAAATTTTTTTGAGGTTATGTTTAATATTCAATGAAACACAGGTCCACCTATGAATTTAGTATAAACTCAGTATGAAGTGAATTAATAGTACAACTAATTCATTTTATTCGGTGTCATTTTAAAGAATAACTAATAGAAAAAACTTGGTTAGGTAGGAATCATGAATAAAATAAAAACTGTAGTTTTGCTTCTTATTTATTGACTAGTTTCACATTATTGTATCATATTGTTTATTGTATTTATTTGTATATCACATGTAGGTATATTGTGTAAATATGCAGCGTGAATGTGTATCAGGGTTTCTTGAATAATTTGGCAGTATGATCCTCTAAGGATATTGTGGCACAGGTTCACTAGCACTTGGTAATAAGGGCTCTGCTCTTTGGTAACATCGATGGCATATTAGATAGCCCAAATAGTTAAATTATAGGAAAAATAATCGCAAATAAACACACAAAACATAAAACAGGCAATCCGAAACGAGAACGCACTTTCCGGTATATATTTTACTACTCTTTGGAATGCACGAATGCCACAGATTACTACGAATGCAAACTGCATGCACCACAACCACAGAGTAACGAGTTTTATGCCGGCCCTTCACTTGATAACAGTTTGTCCTTGTCATGCTTAATAAGGAATGAAAAGGACAGACTGATGTCATGTTTTAAAATAGCAAATACGAATAACCAAGTGAAGTGCCGGCATTAGGAAGAAAGAGTGTTTTGTTTGCAGCGCTGCCATAGATTATATACATAAAATGGTATTTATTGTCTCAGATTATTTTTCAACTTTTTAATTTAGCTTACTTAACTGGAAGTGTCCGTCACAATCTAAATACTGATAATTTTCGCAAAAAATATACTAAGAATTATCATAAATGCCAAATTGGTGTTGGTTCTTAGGCCAATTTTAACATTGTCCTTTGTATCCTATATGTCAGTGTTGGATTTACCTAGTAGTCGGTCTCTGAGTGTTTTGTGTTATGGGCGGCCTGGCGGTGGTTGGACGAGGAGTCACACTAGCAGATGAGGGGCTGCCCATCATCAGCTCTCCGTCGTCTCCGAATCTGGAATCACAAAGATTGCAATCAGCTCAAGTATATAGTTTGTTCAAGACAATTAATTAAGCCAATCAATTGGTTATTTTTACAGAGAAAATCTTCAGAAGAATGGTCTAAAATTTCAAAACCAATAATTGAAATTTGTTAATTTATTTTCTCACAAAACTTCCGTTAAGAATAGGGTTTCAGATTTAAATAAAACAGAATAACTTTACAAGTAGGAACTTGTAAAAATAAGGTAAATTTTTATGACTGTCCAAGTGTCTGCTTAAAAGTAATTTTATTATAAGCATTTAACTACTAGGTATTCATACAGTCCAACTAGTGACGTCAACAATTTTTTTTAGATTCCTCGCACCTGGGGGTATCCGAAAATACCCCATACATGTTCCGCGATTTTTCTTAGTTTTAGAGTTAATTTTTTTTGTGTATTTTTAATGATTTCTGCCAGCGAGGTTTCAAAAATTCTGATCTTTTTTCATAGTAGGTATTTTGCAGTCTTTTTTTTGTGACATAGTTGTCTTTAATGTTGTTTTAATAAAAAAATAACTGAGCTTCCTGCAATTACTTAAAGTTACTCAAAAAAGGCTTGAAAGTTGGAACTTTAGTTTTTAGTAGGATTTACTCAAACATTCAACTTCAATTTAGAAGTACAAAAAGTAGTTATAGGTTCTCACTAAAATTAAAAACTCCGCATGCTTCTAAACTACTAAAAATCATAAAAAAAATGTACTTAATCAGCCTATTTTTGTAATTGGCTTTTGAAGGCGGATAGGCTAAAAATCATTGAAACATTATTAAAGCATTAAAAAATATTTTATCTACTTTTTATCATTGTTATGGTAAATTTACCTTAAAAATGTAATTTCAAATTAAATTTAATTGAAATTCCTGTAGAATAACTTTAGTATGTGTAATGTTACAATAATTTCGGTTTTACCACTAAGATTTAAAATGCGATCAAGAATTGAGACAAAAACTTACAAAAGCGGCAAGAAAAATAAAGCAAGAATATTCAAATAGCTTCAGACAATTAAAAAATAACTTTAAAGACATTGTCAATTGTGAATTCAAGTTGGAGGAAGGAGTTTTGCAAATTTACTGTAATAAATAATTTTTTAGTAATTTGTGGTTTTTATTTGTATCATAAAACAGGTAATTTCCCAACTAGCCATTTTGATCTTTATTCTTGCTCACATTTTAAATATTAGTGGAGAAACCGAAATTATTATAAGAAAAAATCCACTAAGTCCAGGTTTCAGACGGGATTCGAACCCGTATCTTAAAAAAATCAATTGAAGAAAGAAATAAATAGTATAATACACGAAGCAGTATTGTATTTTATTGTGTAAGTGCGCTCCTGCCATGTGACGCTGCTCTGCCCTAGAATCTTCCATAGGAGGAGAATCGTCAGTTGGCACAGTACCTATAGTACAGTAGCAATTTCAGAGTTAAATTCCGTCGTGTGATTCCATTGTGGCTCAGATGAACATTCTAAGAATGTGCATTGTTAAACATGAAATAACGTACATAATTAAAATTGCATTTTTTGTTATAATGATATTTTTATATGCCGTTTTCCTTGAATAGATAATATAAGTTCTATTAAATGCAAACTGTCTCTATGTGACTTGGGTAACAATAGACTTGTTTTTTTTCAAAATATTCATTTCAATTACAGTGTAGTGTATAATTAGTGTATTTAGCAAGTAAGCAATATTGATTTATATTAAGTAACGCGCGTGAGTCGCGACGGCATTAATAATTAAGACATAGAATAGTAAATATGTAATCTTAAAGGAATAAATAAATAGTTTTATTAGTTTAATAAATGTTTCAATCAACGGCTCCTACGACAACCGTGGATAGCGACCCTGCCAGGATACTTGCTAAATACACTAATTATACACTACAACAGAAAGGCATTATTTTTTTGAACGCCCCTCGTCTGTGGCGGAAACTACCCTCCTACGCCATGAACCCGAAACGGAAATTTTGAAAAAAATACATCACCTTCTTATTACTTTACACCAAACCTCATAGGTATTTACATAAATGACATATTTCTAAATAATAGAAAAAAAAATCTATGCAAAGGAATAAAATAACAGGCAAGTTTATACAATAAAATTTAAAAAGATAGAATTAAAAACGTAAGAAGATAATTATTTGCGTGTACTGGATATGCCATGGGGCAGCCGGCATGAAAGGTGGACGTGGCATAAAAGGTACTACACCCTTAACATATACATTTTGCATTTACTAGCTATAAGAGAAAGAGAGAAAGAATATGTAGGCGCGCACTGCTTTCTCTTGCTATATCCCCCACTCAACTCCCGTTCGCCTTGCCTGAACACACTTTTCGTAACGCGTAATGCATTCGCTAGCTTACCCCCCAAGTCGAGCGTGCGTGAAATCTTCTAACTAACTAAAAAACTTCAAAATAGTTGAGAGAAACTTAAATCAACGGAGGCGCTGTTGCGGGCGGAAGCTAGTGTGCTTTTAAAGGTCACGAAAGTTTTTCCTCCGCTAATGATTACAGTGATTATATGTATAGCGATCTCTTTTATGTATAAGGCATAAAACTATGAGGGGTCTATAATAATTTTGTCCCATTCGGTGTCGAGACCCTTGGTCCGTGGGGTCCTAGCGCTATAAGGCTTTTTAAGGAAATAGCAAAAAGGTTAGTTGACGTCACAGGAGAACGAAGAGCTGGCAGCTACCTCGGACAAAGAATTAGTCTAGCTATTCAAAGGGGGAACGCTGCCTGGAATCTTCGGAACCTTGCCTAAAGGGACTCCTTTTAATAATATAGCTATTATGTTATATTTTTTTTAGGTTTTTAATTTCAGGTTAATTGTTTTACTTTGTAAAATCTATGAGTACCTATATCTTCATAGAGCAATGTGGACATTCAATTGCCTATCGAAACATCGTTTCTGGCATAACTGGATCCAATTAAACCTCTGACCGCTAAACCTGCCGCAGGAAACTGTGTTTCGTACCGCGATTATATTGGCACAAAGTACTAGGCCACACGCGACTATATACCACCGAATAAATGCATAATCACAACGTGATGCAACAGAAGCGAATCTGTAAACGTTATTTTTAACCGGTTTCATGATACAACCGTCAAATATCGAGTTCGCATGCTAAAAAGGTCTTTAAAATGTAAAACCTTATAATCTTGTCTTCATAGTGTCTGGCATCCTGGTGTCAGAAAGGGAACCAGTCGAAAACCAGCGTTAATGCAAACTGACACAATGCTGTACCCCTAGCACGTACCATTATCGAATTCGAATAGTTTGCAAACCGAAATGTCAATGTCAAATTTTATATGGAAACTTGAACAGCAGCGGCACAAAGTACGTAACGAGAACTAAAAATCAGTACACATTTGACAATGACATTGCGGACTCGCAAACGATACGAATTCGATATTGGTTCGTGCTAAGGGTACTGAACTGGGTCCTTTTCGGTCCAGTTGTGAAAACATGATATCTAATGTTATGTATGTTTTTTCATGCCAGTCATTTAGTGTCCTTATATATAATAAATAAATAAATATTTCCAACACTGACACCAATTAGCCTAGTCCCAAAGTAAGCACTGTAAGGCTTGTGTTAAGGGATACTAGGGTAACGGATAGTACACATATAAGTTTATTTATAGAGAAATACATATTAAACATCCATGACTGGAGTACAAATGCTCATATTCATCACACAAACATCTGCCCCCAGCGGAATTCGAACCCGGGCCCTCTCGAGTCGGTGACACCATGCCACGGTATAAATTTAACCATTTGTCTGTATCCATGACTGTTCCGAATAAATGTTTTTTTATGTTTTTCATTTCAATAAGAAGTATTAATGTACACTTGACGACTCTTTGAAAGCGCGAAACAGGAAGGAAAAACTACTCCTTGTTCTTTTCAGTACAAGGTTGCCGCGCCCTGCTTACATGATTATGAACCGATTACAAAGCTTTTCTAACTTTCACAAGTGCTTATAAAAACAAACACTGAATAAAGTTTCTACGGGAAAAGTAATGTTTTGCTTGATTGTACTTGTAAGCTTATTGAATAATAATTTGACACAAACTTGCTGACATGACTAATACCGCAATTACATTTGGTCGCTAGCCCGTATTCGGGTGCACGAAAGGAATTACTCGAATTCGGGCTCCCAAAGCAATATTTTTGCACTGGAATACGGGCTGGAAGATGGTGTCGGGTAAACAAAAGGAAATCTACCCGGAAACGGGCGTACTTGATTCCGTTTTTTTTTTTTTTTTTTAATATTTCCAACACACACCAATTAGCCTAGCCCCAAAGTAAGCACTATAAGGCTTGTGTTATGGGATACTAGGGTAACGGATAGAATACAAGTACATATATAAGTATATTTATATAGAAAATACATATTAAACATCCATGACTGGAGTACAAATGCTCGTATTCATCACACAAACATCTGCCCCCACCGGGATTTGAACCCAGGACCTCTCGAGTCGGTGACACCATGAAACCCGGCGTACAAACCACTCGGCCACGGAGGTCGTCAAATCCGTTAATTTACACTTACTCGTTTACCCGAATTCCATTGGCACTCGTATTCGGGCTAACGACCAAGTATAATCGTGCCTCAACGCAGTTTGCGAGGAGAAAAAAAAAACAGTAAATTCTGCTTGATGCGATTTTAAATTTATTGCTTGTTGTCAAGTGAAATAAAGGCGACTTTTTGTTTTTATTTTTGTTCAAACAACCAATTATTGCGAAAACCAGTTCAACAAAATATTAATTTATGTTTTCTTGCCCGTTGTCTTTACGTAGTTTCCTTGTTCGTGCGTTGCGTAGAGTTGCGTCGCCACGCCACTTTAATAAACGACTTGTCAACATTAATAACTAAATAAATTACAATATTAAGACCAGTTTAAAGCTATGGTTGTCGATTAGGTTGGGCCGTTTTATAATTCGTTTGCCACCCTGAAACTGTTCTATCTATTCTGTAAGCATCCATATTTATCTAGCTAGATACATTGAACGTGTCACTGGCGCTGTGACGCGGGGTCAAATGGCAGCGGGTTGTCGGACGTGGGTGCATTTGTGTAAATGTAGGTAGTATACAACAAACAAATTTGTAGGACCTTGCATGCTTTCATATATATAATTATATGTGTATGTGGGATGCGCGCGCAGCTCTTCCCGACGAGCATGAAAGTGGGGAGTAACTCGGCGAAGGCTGAAACGCTACGTGCATCACACGCGACAATATATATGAGAAATGCGTGCGTTGCTCCATTCCCCTGTGCCTTATGCACCGCCTAATGTTAGGTTATATAAGAAGTTTCACGTCAGATATGTGGTCCGTGCACACTATTGTTTTTTTGAAAAAATCGATTTTGGTATCTGTCTGTATCGATTGTACTCTTATTACAAACACACATAATTACATTAGCCGGGATCACCACTAGTTTTAAACAATATAATGATAAAATATAAGTAAAAGCTGATTTTAAAATCCTATATTAAAAGAAAACTAAGGTAATATTTGGTCAAACAAAATGTTAAATAAAACTAGTTTTTCACAGGTAAACTAAACTTTATTTATTTATTGACGTTTAAACTTCAATAAATTTCGATTCCTATGTTTATTATATTTATACTTTATAATTATAGATCTAAAAAGGCAAATAAATTAATAAATATGGTACATATTAAGTACATATAATAAATAGTAAGTATAGTCTCTTAATCGCTTATACTATTTGATTAAACAACAAACCATGAAATATGTATAAACATTTAAATGTTATTTATGTTTTACGCAGCTGAAGATGAGGATTAATTAGCGCAGATAATAATCTCAAACACCGACAGTAAATTTAATGCAAATTAAATACTGAGTGGAAAATTCTAACCTAAGTTTTTTTTTACTATTTTATTTAAACATGTTTTATTTTTAATAAAATAATATTACCTAAATTAAGGACCCGTTTTACTAACGAAAAGAACTTATCTGTACCCCTAGCACGAACCAATATCGAATTCGTATCGTTTGCGTGCTAGGGGTACTGCTCAATAGCCCCCCCCCCCCCCCACCCCCTAGCTAAGGCCCTTACGTGGGTACTGCGGGCGCTGACACTCGACGGGCCCCGCTTTAGACACTCGACGGGCTTCGCTTTAGTCATGCCAAGCCCTAAGTGGTAATCCTCTTACCCCCGTATTAATAAACGAAGTATAAGCTTGGATCATTCACTCCATGTTTTGTCTCTGTTCATTGAATGACAACTGGCATATAAATGGTATGAACAAAACACGACGTAACCACGCAACTAGTCTAAACTTACACGTCGTTTATTAATTAGGGAGGTCTAGTTTGAATAACCAGGCCCGTCCTTATATTCTTACCTGTTAAGGATGACGGGCTTCACAGACGTGGTGGCGTCGGGAATCCGTTGCGTTGACGCCTGGGTAGGTGGCGGCAGTGAAGGTCGCGTTACCGGCACATTGGGCAGCCTTGGTGGCACTGGGGGCAGAGGAGCCAGCGTGGGTGCTACGGGCACTGGCGCTGGACGGCTAGACGGGACTGCCTCATTGTTGTCAACTGAAAACCGTTTGAGAATCAAAAGCTTTTGTCATTTACCTAATATACTTACACATTCGTTATAGTTATATCATTAAAGCAATTTGTTACGTGTTAGGCTTTGATTATAATAGCTTTGTAGGTATTTATTCTTATTTTAAGCGTAATCGTGTCACTATTGTAATAAAATGTTTTCTTTTCTTCCTATACCTAAAATTTAAATGTAAGGTCAATGATCCTATAATTTGCTCACTGTGCATTCTCCAGGGGAGGGAGAGTCCTGGTGCTCTGAGATACAGGCGTTCTGCCTAGTTCAGGCACCAGTCTCCCACAATCTATTTTATTGTTTTTATATAAAATTATAGTATAATAAGTTGTTATGTGATTTGTAGATTGTGGAAGAAGAAAAATAAAGATTATTATTATTTGTTTACAAATAATATATACCTACCTATTCATTGAGCTGATAAGTTAGTTGTTTGCGCCTTATCAAACGCTCCATACAAGTGGTCATTTTCTATCACCCCTCATTTTATTTTACCTGCTTACCACAAAAATGTAAGGCGTTCAACACCAGTCAAAAAAAGATTTATTTTTTACAAAATTTGCATCATAAACGTCGTGGCTCGAAACACTGTCTAGATTGTTTGATGTAATTAACAATGAAAAGTTTATAAATAAGAAATAATATAAAGTTTATTGGATTAGCAATATTAAGAACTTTGACCGCCTGATTACAAAACGTGGACTAAAGTAATTAGTATAAGCCTAATGCGGTATCCGTCTCTTCTTTAGCAAACGAAAGTGACGTGATATCATCATTATACATTTAACCCATTAAGCGCCAAAATGAAACTAGCAGCTTTTCGACTATCAACGTTTATTACCTGATTATGGCTGACACATTTAAGTATAAAAGAAAGAACAAAGAAATGTTTTTATAATTTGGAAGGTTTTAGCGGGGTGTACTCGCATGAGTACAGCGGGCACTTAGTGGTGTAAATTTTCAAAAATATCTCTTTATATGCAAAGTGTATTCAAGCTGGTTTTAGATTGCCACCGTACTCTGGTATCATAGGTTTTTCGATTTTTTGGAGAAAAAATATCTTTAGCGTCCAAAAATAATACCGAGGTTAGTGACCACGGTCTGCAGCGGATAACTAGTAATTACGAACTGCCATATTAAACGACGATTAGAACAGACCTTACGTTAATTAAGATACGCTTTTTGTCTCTTCTTCTTGTTGGGGCTCAATCAAACGTTGTAAGTAAAATATTAATGTTTAAAATATTCAACTCACTCATTACCTTCACAACTTTGCTGGCACTGGTAAGGCTTTTTTTTCAGACATCTCCAAACCATTCCAATAGCTAGAATTTTTTGTATGAATCGAGGTGCTAAGATAGACTATCTCATTAAAAACCATATAATTTAATGATGGGAACTGATAATAATTCGTTTGGAGTGTTTTTCACTTTTGTCGATTGACAGCTTAACTACTTAATATATCTTAAAACGAGTCGTTATTCTGTAACGGGACATCTAATAACAGTTAGATAGGTATTTGCATTTAAATTAATGCAATATTCATAATATTAAATTCCACTGTTCATTTAATATTTTTATGAAGGACTTTTGTCCTAAAAGTATTATCCATCAAGATATTTTGTAATTTAATTTAGTTAAGTATTTTTTTGAGACTACAACCAAATCGAAACTAAACTTTGAAGTCTGCTACGTAACAAAGACGATTTATGATGTAAATAAATATTTGATAATTTCTGGTTTGTATTCCATATTTACTGTAGACAAAATAGGCTTATATATTTATTAGATTTAATTTTAAATGATTATGTTAAATATACCTACTTATGTGACCCTTGCGACCTATGTTTTATACACGCAAAATGTATTTGGAATATTTTAACTCTAACTAGTTCTGCTTGCGTGTTGTTTTGGTAACGTAACATTGACTTAATTATATCTCAAATGAAAAGGTCAGACGGTATTATATGAATTTTAACTAAGTTAGCATTGAAGACACTGTAAATATAAAGGAAGGAAAAGGATATGATACTTTTGCCTTCAGTGCCTATTACAATGATAAGTCACATCAATAATGTTTTGGTGTCGGCCAAATTTATCTTTATCTTCTTCATACTTTTCTGTCATCTCAACACTTAACTCTCGAAAACAGAGTAGACATATTTTCTTAAGTTTGTCTTTTGTTTTGTTTACTTCCAAATCCCAAATTCCCCGCTTGGGCTTGCTTACTATAGCACTGTAGGAAAAAAAGATACCGACTAATCGAGAACCTCTTCCGTTTTTGGAAGCCAGTTGAAAACAAAGTCGTTCTTTATACCTAGTAACCAACGATATTAGTCATTCATTGCTTTTATCCGACGTTGACGACCTCCCTGACCGAATGGTTTGTACGCCGGGTTTCATGGTGTTCGCCGACTCCAGAGGTTCCCGGGTTCAAATCCCGGTGTGGGCATATGTTTATATGGTAGTCATGGATGTTTAATATGTACCTATTTCTATATAAATATACTTATATCTTATATATGTACAATATTATATGTATTCTATCCGTTACCCTAGTATCCCATAACACAAGCCTTATAGTGCTTTATTTGGGGCTAGGCTAATTGATGTGAGTGTTGGAAATATTTATTTATTATTTACTAGCTTTTGCCCGCGGCTTCGCGCGCTGTTTTCTCGCCTTTTAAACGTTCCCTAGACCTCCACGAACATTTCAAGACCAAGATAAGATAAATCCGTTCAGCCGTTCTCGAGTTTTAGCGAGACTAACAAACAGCAATTGATTTTTATATATATAGATTAACAGATAATACCTACAGATGTATGTTCTAAATACCTTTTTATTACATTCAAAATGTCGTCATTAACTTTTTGCTCAGATAGATTTGTAATAAGACTGTCCCAAAGTCAATGCCGTAAAAATATAAGTGCAACTGAGGTCACGGCCCATCACTCATTTGTTGAACTACTCACTTGAAAGAAAATAAACTTAACGAAGACACTAGTCATAAATATGAAAAATTGCTTGTTGCAAATACATTTTACGTGTTTTGTTTCTCTTCAATATTTTGTGTGGGTTTTTAATTACCATTAATATCCTACGAGTATGTACTAAAATATTGTTTTTGTAGCGGTGTGGAAAAATTTATTAGGAAGCTGCATAATCTACCTCTAATTTAAAAGTATGATGTTAATCTATTATTCCGAGGATGTTAGGTTGTTGGTGTTATTCTTGTAATGAGTCACATCAGGTACGTTTTGTAGGTAAGCCTTTTAAATAATGAAATAAATGTTTTGTACAGATAAACACACAAAATCACTTTCTGTGTTTGGATGTGTATCTAACTGTGTATGTGTGTATATATGTGCGTGCGTGTATGTGTGGGCGTGTGTGTAAGCTTTAGAGTTTGTTTGTGCGTGTACGAGGAGCTCGATAATGCAAGTGGTTAACGCGTTTGACCGCGATCGTTAAAGATGAACAACTTTCGCAGCGCTCGGTCATGGACGGGTGACCAAAAATTTACTATCTCGAGCTCCTCCGTGCTTCGGAAGGCACGTCTAGCCGTTGGTCCCGACTGCGTCTGTAGTCGTCAGCACCTACCAATATGCACTGGGCCGGCGTGGTGGGTATCGCCCAATCGCCCTCTTCCATCCATAGGGAAGGCCTGTGCTCCAACATTAATAGGCTGATGATGATGTACGTCTACTCACTGGAGCCGGAAATAGTATTGAAGTTCTCATTGTCCAGGTACTCTTCGAAGTATCTGGTGAAGTCGCCCGTGGGGTCCCAACGGGAGGACAGCTTGGCCCATTCTTCAGGAAACTCGTATTTCAACCGCTTAATCACCTTCACGGCGGTCTTCTTTTGCGTCTCTGTGCATCGTATGCACTTCGTTCTTAAGGCTTCCGGCAGTATTCCTGTAAAGAAGAAGTTACTTTTATTGACTTTGTAATATTATAAAAATTACATTAACTGATTAGTATATATTTTATATTGCTTTTGTATTTTTCATGTCTCCTTTAATAATTATATTTAGGATGGCGGATTTCAGTTCTGATTTTGGAAAAAATGCTATTCAATATTCACACGAAAAACTACACAACGTCAATAGTGTCGAGGGATACAGGTCGGGGTACGAAACTCTAGCGTTGACCGTTATTGCGTAGAAGTAAAAATTAAGATGTCTTGGGGGGAACCGAGGTGCGCGGGTGGGCGTGCGTTGCGCCGATTGGCTCTCCATTTGTACCCATGCGCAGCTATCCCCTCCGCGTTTTGTTCAGCGCTAGAGTTACGTTGTGCCGCGACCTGTAAATACATTATTATCCTTTTAAGGTCGCATGTTGTAATGATCTTTTATTACCAATAAACCAATTAGCATTGGATAGTAGGCAATACCTCAAGGTACGAATAGTATCTCTTAACATAAAATCGCTTTTAAAAAGTAATTTGACGTTTTTATTGTCATGTTTTTGATAAAACTGAGTTTTGTAGAGAAGAAAAAAGCTCTTGCAATTTAAATTCCTTTCATGATAGCACTTCATGCAAATAAGTAAGTATAGTATTCCTTTATGGAATGAAAAAGTGGGGCTGTTATAAAATTTTCCAATATCTAATTCGGATAGCCTGTGAGTGAGCTTAAGAAAAAGTTAACATAACGGTAACATAATTGGTCAGTGCATTCGCCCGGATAGCGAAGGGTGCGGGTTCGAGTCCCGTCTGCTGCCTGGTCCGCGTGGATTTTTTTCTAGTTATATTTTCTTTAGATTTAAACATCAAGCAGTTACATGCTTAAAAAATAAAAAATATAAATTATTATTAATTATGTTATTGTTTTTCAATAATACACAGAGAAAAGTCGTACCTTTTAATAAAGCAAAAATATTTCAGTTCTATTTTATTTTAAGAATTCAACTGCTAGACGGGTCAGGCCGTAGATTTTGCCACAAATAGCGCAAAATATTTCGCTACAAAAAGCGATGAACTTTTCGTAAAATACGCTTATCCGTCCCGGTAGAGGTGCACTTTGAGCATCAGTAAAATCAAAAATAAAAATATTTTTGATAGTCTGTTTGCTTTTACACTATACAATAATAGTTAGCTAGCCACATTTTAAATATCGTTTCGTATTACCTAAGAAATTTCATAAATTTTCACTCATTTTCGGAAAACGTTAAAATCCATTCCTTTGCGCTACTTTTTATTGCGCAACTAATAAATGTCCATTTGGTTGTGCTTAAAAAATAGCAGTATTCAAGTCTGAGTAGTGGCAACACCGAACAAACTTTGTCTATGGTCAATACGCTGTCAGCGGAAATATTTTTTTCAGTCCAACATCAACATCGTTTGAAAGAAGGAAGTGTCATATTTTTTGCGGAGAGTGTTTTTTGATATATCACGGTAAGTTTTTGATTTATATCTATACTTATTATTGCGCACGATTTAATGAAATGTTTGACATCTTTCAAGGCTTAATTTACATTAAATAATAGCTTATTTATCAAGTCATAATGGGTTTTGTTTGCGCGACAGTTGCGCAAAAATGACTTTATGCAACTTTGCGATACCAGGGGCGTAGAATTTGCGCTACTAATTTTACGCTACCAAATAAAGGAGCTTACACACATAGGCTTTGTAATATTATTATTACCTTTTGTAATATTTGTGTTTTTTTTGAGGTTTCGATTTTAGTTTCTGTGAAGGAATTGTATTTCTAGCAATAGAACTCTCCGCTTTTTTGTAACACCTTTTAAGACTTAAAGATAAGAGTAAAATTTGACGTTTGTCATACTTACCTATTAAAAGTGTGTTTTATTTTGTAGCACTGTCCTTACGTTACATATCTTGTATGCACTCCTTAACAATTTTGCGTTACCATTTTGCGTCACTCTGCGCTATGGACTCGTAGAAATTTTTGCGACGCCATTGCGCTATTTGTGGCAAAATCTACGGCCTGACCCATAAACAACTTTCCATATTTCTCATCATAATAAATGTCTTAAAAATTTTAGAGTAATTAAAATAAATTTGCATTAACGTAATAAATTATAACTTGCATGGCTACTAACATGCTGAAATTAACCCTGGCTGTCTGTTTAGTCGTTCATGCCTAAAGTGATGAGTAAATTTTGGTATAACAATATAGAAAACTTTGGAGATGAACATATGTTAACTTTTGCCGCGGATATCAAACTTAAAAGAAGTGAAATAAGAGATTAACTTATGTATGGAAAAGAAAATTCTATTCTATGTTGACGAAGTTATGTCGATCAGAAACTTATTGTCCCGTGCTCCTCCATGCACGGAAGGTACGTGCAGCCGTTGGTCCCGGCTGCATCTGCAGTCGCTAGCATCCACCAATCCGCATTGGGCCCGCATGGTGGGTCATGGCCCAATATCCCTATTGCAAGATTCCATCCATAGGGAAGCGTATGCCTCAGCAATGGTAACATTAATAGAATGATGATGATAATGAGACGAAGTTACAAGCATCCTCCAGTTACTAAGTAATATTTCTAACATGCAATAATATCATCAGAAACTTTAATCTAAGTACATTTCAAGTAGTAGCTACATTGGAGTCAGTCAGACAATATATTAATTTGTATGCTTAAGCAAATTTCGCAGTGGTCGGTCATTGTGTGGGTGACTAAAAATCCTCTATCTCGAGTTTCTCCGTGCTTCGAAAGGCACGTTAAGCCGTTGCGTTGGTCCCGGATGCATCTGCAGTCGTTAAGGTTTGAAATATATTTTCGACCCTCTGTACTAATGTTAATTAAACTATAAATTATGCACTAACTATTAATTATCTAACGAATATTACATGCTCATTGCAAGTTCATTGGCATTCTGCTCATAAATTAAGGCACCTACGTATTTATATAAGCGTATTAGCAAATATTTATCCCCGATACACGCTGTGTTGATTGAATAGCTTAAAAGTCAGGTACCGATCTTTTATAAGTAGCAGTATTATATCAAGCTTTTGTAACATCGACTGTCACGCATCAACAGTCTGTACGTCACGCACGGAGATCTGTATCAAATGTAAGTTCTTACAAATTGAAGGTCAACATTGTATTCATTGTGAAACTGTAAGTGAAGTTGATAAACCATAGCAGAGGTAGGCCAAGCGAATTCCGCCTGATTTGAAGTGCACATCTGGGGTAGTAATTTCCACCTTACAGAAGATCATAGAAAAATAACACTACCTTTTGGTGGTGTTGTGTTTCTGTTGGTGAGTAAGGATTCAGGGCTTAGGGTTAGGGGATTGGGTCAGAGTAGGCAACGGTGCGAATTATATTTTTGTATCGAAAGCGTCTTTAAGTGTCGCCGCACACGGGCCACCGACCACAACCACTAAACGCCGCCACCGGCATATTTCTTGTAGTTTCCATACATTTTATATGGACTCGCCACTCACGGTACGCTGGTGGCTGCCACAGGCTACAAACCGTCGTTGCTCGCTTCTTGTGGCCCGCACCGGCCACTTAATGCGCCGATACAAAACGCCGCCACACGTCACTCGCGCGATTCCCCATCTTACCCTTACCTTAGTCGGCCGCCGTCGCGCACTACAGTCACTTTAGTAGCCGCTTCTAGCTTCTCGTGGCGGCGTTTGTAGCTGTGGCGTGTGGCCCGTGTGCGCCGACACTAAGCTATGATAGCCGTTTACCATAAGGCTCTGGCTCTAAATCACTGTTTCTTTATGTAAAAAGGGTGACAAACAAGCTCATGGCCCGATTTTTTTTTTGAGTGTGTATGCTGTTGGTCACAGATGACCTTCACAGCGTCACCGGGTTTGGGGACAGCGAGATCCTAAGGGGACCTCAAGCCGAGAATTGGCAAGTGCCTCCATAGGTATTCCAGGCGAATGGCATCTCCCCACGGGGGGAGTCTCCTCTCCGTCTGGAGCCTCTAGACCACTCGTATCTGAGGGGGTCGGCTCAACTAGAGGGCGTCTCTGAGACTCGTACCTCGGCTCTAGTTAGCCGTTGTCGTGGAGGTCATGGCTCGAGCTTGTTTGTCATCCTTTTAACATAAAAAACACAGTGCATCTTCAAAAGGAAGGAAGTATCCTTGTAAGTATGACGTTAATTCTTATACGATGGGGTTTAATTATATAACATGATTGTAATTACTTTTACACAATACCTACGTAGCAGCAAATAGTTTTTAGTGCTGCGTGATCAAGTTATTTTAATAAGTCCACTTACTATTATTCTAAAGTTATTAAGCAAATAGCTTCAGTTCCTTGGTTAACATGCAACAAGAAATTGTTAATTTTTTATTTCTCTTAATGATGCATAATTGTACATATAGGGATTGCGATATAATAATGATAAATTGGTAGATTCTCATCTCATGTCTTTAAAATCACACCTTCACTACGTTTATCTTATCTGACAACAAAATAGGTAGGTACCTTTAAATAAAAATAATATAATATTAAATGCATGGCAGGCACAGAAGCCGTATTAAATCACTTAAAAATAAAAAATAGTTCTTATTATTTTGCGTTCAATGACTATGATTAATAACAATGCCTTCTTTAATATGTTGTGATCAAACCGGGACCACTTTTGATATTTATAGTTGTTATAAAATGTGTATTGCATTCAAGTTGCCAGGAATAAGTATGAAAATACGTGACAGACATTCCAAAAGTTATTTCCTCGTTCACAAACGTATCAGCCGACATTTTGGTATTAATACACTAAGACAAACACGCTTCACACCTCATTTTGTTTACGTACGTGATTTAATTTTGTAGTAAATGACGATTAGCGTAAGAACCTAAATTAGCGACAGTTGCACCAACTAACTTTGGGTTAAAATAATAAAATAGATTATGAAAAATTCAAAAAAAAATCATATAATTTTATGTCTATGGTAATTGAAAAATCCATAGTTTTATAAA